CTTTGAATTTAGGATTGTTTAGAAAAAATATAATTATATACGATTAATATCATTGATAACAGTAATTAAAATTAAATGTGAATTAAATATCATATATTATAATGTCTAATAAAAATACAATTAATCATCATTAAAATATATTAAATAATTATTTGTAAGTTACATAGTATATAATTTAGTTAATTGTTGTCAAATTATAAAATTTTCATTTATAATTAATTACCATTAATTGTGAATTTAATATCAGTTAAAATATAATAGTTATTGTTGTAATCGGTTTTATTGAAATAAATGTGTATAATTGTATTTAAATATACAAAATTAGTTTTAAATTTATTAAGAATACATAAGATAAGATAACTAAAGCAATAAAAAATTATAATTCTACCATGAATTTCAAATATATAATTTATAAAAACATTATAAATTAAAATATAATTCACATTTATAAAACATTATAATACTTTAAAAAGTAAAACATCATTAAAATATTATGAATTTCAAATATATAAAACATTATAATTCTTTTTTATAAAGATAGGAAAGATTTCAAAAATGGTCGGAATGATGTAAATATATGTATGCTAATGTGATGAATATGTCGTCAGTTGTTAAGTTGTTATTTTGATGTTATCGCGTTGTAAGTTGTATTATTTAATGTGATGAATATGATGTGTGATGTCTAGTTGATATGATGATTATGATGTTACCCTGTTGTAAGATGAAATGTTTTGATATGATGATGTTGAATTCTTTTTACTAGCTTATCTTATATTTTCCTTGTGGTGAAAATTATGATGATCATACTTAGTATAAGAGTATGACAAAATTAGCAAAATAATTTGTGCTGTTGAAGGGTAGTCACGCTAGAAGTGATTAATTTTGATTATAAATTACTCCTATGTAATCAGATTTCGTATAGATACTAACCGACACTCAAGTTTATTTTGCAATTTGTATTGTATGTTATATATATATATATATGATGTATATATTGAATACTAGTTACTAGTTATAATATAAACTCAAATTCTGATACATATAATTTAATCTTTCATTATGCAGTAGTTGTACAATAACTAGTATAATGACTGTCAAATCATTATACAAATTACCACCGTGTGTAAAAATAATAGTCAATAAAAACTCATTAATGTTTTTATTCAACTTATTTAGTTAATTTAAACAAGTAATCATCTTAATTTAAAACTATTAATCGCTTTAACTACTAAGTTGGCCAAATGGAATTGAACTAGATACTATTATGTATCTTGTGGATGAAATAAACCTTATAAGGAGAAAAAAATCCATTAAAAATAGTTAATTGCTTTTGTGAGGATCAACAAAGTCTATGAATACAATAAGAACAATAATTAATAATAATAATAATAATAATAATAATAATAATAAATCACACAGTTAGAATCATCTTATTTTTGTGTTATATATAATTAATTTTATTAAAAATTATATTCATTTTAAAAGTAATAATTAAATATATAAATTAAGAGATAATATTTTTTTTACCATCACTAAGAAATAAATTGTTTAAATATAACATATTTATATTTATTAAAGATAAAAATATTTATTTTAACATAAGAAAAAAGTACCGTAATTATTGACATCGCCGAAATTAGTGTACAAACTGTTTTGGTAATAATTATTTTGTAATGAAAGTCAATGAAATTTTTTTTAAAATAGGAAATATTCGTATATTGGAATATCCCAAAGGAAATGACCATAACTTTTAAAATAAAAGGTATCAGAATTAGGGATGGTAACGGGGCGGGGCGGGTACGGGTTTCATAATACCGTCCCGTTCCCGCAAGTTAAATTCATCCTCATCCCCGTCCCCATATTTGTCGGGTATAGATTTTCATTCTCATTCCTGTTCTCGTCGAGTATCGGGTATACTCGTACCTGTCAATTTTTTTATTTTTTATTTTTTGTAAAAAAATGATATTTTTAAATTATTTTTTTTCATTATATTATAATTATAATTAGATTATTTTTTTATCTCATATTATAATAAATAATCACACATAAAAAATATTAAAATTTTTTAATATAATTTAATTAAAAGTGTACGGGGCGGGTAAGTACATACCCGTACCCGTACCCGTACCCGTACCCGTACCCGATTTAATATATCGGGTTTTACATGTACCCGTACCCGTACCCGGTCAAACTGGGTATTCCCCGTCAAAGTCGGGACGGGTTCGGGTATTAACCGCGGGTACAGATATATTTGTCATCCCTAGTCACAATGTAGCATTTGTGTATCCGAAAAGAAAAGTGTAAATTACTTTTCTTTATGTAACTTAATTTAAAAAATTATTGTATTCTATATTACTGAAATGTAATAAATTTTTCTGCTTTTCATAAAATGATTTTGAGATTTCTTACTAAATTCCTTTTCACTTTAGCCACCTTGTTAAATGTGTATTATTTTTTATTGTACAAATTTATTAATGTTAATTAATAATAATTTAAAGGAAGAAATTTTGAAACAACTTCCACCTCTGCAAAACAATTTCTATATTTTTTATATATAATCATATATAAATTCTATTGTAAAATAAATTGACATTAAAAACAATTAAAACCAAATAAATATATCAAAATAATTAATATCACAATAATTAATAAAAAATTATAGATTTCACCTCTATAATTAATAAAAAAGCTTATAATATAAATGATAAATTAAACAAAATTGAATAAAATAATTATAAATTTTATGTCAACAAATAAACTAATCAAATATTTTTTTAAAAAAAATTCTACAAAACCAACTACATTAAAATAATCAAATCTATAACATTAACCAAATTAGTTTCTTAAAATTAATATAAGACATTCATTTTGTTTTTAAAGAATTTTATGTAAAATCTATACTTTTTCTTTATCTAGATTTACATTAAATATAATAAATATTTATCTTTAATTATAGTAAATATATAATGATGCTAAAAATCAATATTTTTTAAATTATCTTTAAAAAATTTAAAGAATTAATTGGTTAAAGTTTAATTAATAAATAATATTGTTATCAAAAGAAAATAATATTATTTTTTACTGCATAAAATAATAATATTTAAGATTAGACCAATTGAATGATGCTTATATTTTATATTTATTTAAAAAATTATAAAATATAATATTAACAGTGAGAAAAACTCCAACATAAGTATTTTATTAATTTGAAAACATAACATTTAAAAATTTACACTTCTCCTAAAAAACACTCATATTTTTTAATTTAATTAACATATTTTTGCACAAAATATGTTTTTGATTTGGAAATAAAAGTTTTTTTTTTTTTACCTCTGTTGGATTATGTATGCATTTTTTTAAAAAAATATTATCTTATTATTATAAACTCAATCTTCAAAAAAGATTATTATATGAAATTTTTTTCATACTTTTTTATTACTAATATTATTAATATTATAAAAATATCAAATCTGATATGATTTTTTTAAAGCTTATATATTTATTATAATGTTCAAAAGTACTTTTAATTAAAATTATTAAAAAAGACAGACTAAAGCTTGAATAATTGTATCGATTTATTTCTTAAATAAGTTTTTAATTAAAAACCCTTAAAAAGTATACATCATATAAAATAATTAAATTAGAATGAAGTATATTTTAAATAAAAATAATAATTTTTAATCTAACTAAAATCAATTCATTTAAAAGTTAGTATAAGATTTTTTAATTTAATATATATATATATATAAGTATATAGTTATATTAAAATAAAAATATATTTAACAAACATATAAAACAATAAGAAAGTGTATACACTTGTATGATAGTGGTATATTTTTTCTCATATTTATATATATTATTTTTATACTTTTTGTTTTTATCTCGCCCCTTAAAAAAAACAATTATCATGTTATTATATTTCAAATTTTATATTTATTTGATAATTTCGAAACAAAAGAAGAAGACTATTTATCTGTGATTTAAACATAAAAAATACAACTTTTTATATTAAATTTATATAATTACATAATCTTTTAAAATGATATAAAATATAAAAAAGAAATTTATTTTACAAGATAAAATTAATTTATTATTAATAAAAAATTAACTAAATCTATATGTATTGTACGAGTAAACCGTCTACTTAATTAAAAACTAATTAAGAAGTAAAAATATAAATAAGCATTATGAAGTTCTTCGTCGCATTAAGCGGATATAATTTTGATTTAGGATTTAAAATTTAACGTATATTTAATTAATAATTTAAGTTTAATGTATACAATTCGTTGTAATTAAATATAAATATTTATGTAAATATTTTTCTAGAACAAATTTTTTTAAGATAATTTTGTAATTTTTTTTTATAATTTTAATTTATTTTTCAAGCAACCTATTCATCATTTTGTAATTTCCAAAGAATTTTTACCAATGATACCACTCCTCATTCAAGCAACTTGCTTCATAAGTCTTGAGTGACGATAAGGAAAAATAAACCAATGCAAACAACAAAAAACTGAAAATCTGCAATCTTAAAGATAACTCAATGGTAACTTTGCTAGATCATCATGTTGTTTACCTTTTTTACTTTTATTTTGGATAAAAATAAGAAGTTATTAAGAGAGAATTTCCAAAAGCAAGAAAAAAAAACAGAATGGAAAGAAAACAGATAAATTAGATAATGGGTCATGAAGAGTTATTCTATCCAAAGAGGAAATCCATTGAGAATCACAATAGGCCTGATCAAACATGTTAAACACTTTAGAAATCACTGATAGTACCCTGACCCAGAAGACCCAGTAATTTACATGACTTTGTTTGAAGATGATAGATACTATGATGCATATATACAAGGTTCTAAATGACACGTCAGGATGATATCTATAACTGCCATTAGCCTTTTATTTTACAATTTTGTTGCAATTTTTTTTTATCAGATTCTCTTTTTTGTTTCCGGGAAGTGCGGTTAGCCAATGATTGGCACCCTATTTTGTTTATAAATCAATCATTATCAATGAAAGAAAACAGTCAATGATCAATATTTGAATAATCTAGCTAGTATTTTTCCTATTACTCTTTTCACAGTAAAACAGTAGCCTATCAATCACTAAATCAGACAAAAGGAACAGATGCCTAAACCTCATAGATACGTTTATACTCCATGTATGCTATGCTGATCCTTATGAATGTTAGTGCAACAAGCTTTCTAACAACTGAACTATTAGATATCTGCTTCATGATCCCACTGCAGAGGAAACAACCAACAAAATCAGTGAAAGTTATGCTCCAGAGAAACAATCTCCAAATAGAAAATCCCAAAATATCACTCATATCAGCAGCAGCATCAAAAACAAGAACATAGATTTCTTCATAATAAGTAAAATTTCCTTAAGCATTAAACTTTTCATTTGGAACTATTAGAATGTGTAGTGGCCTTGTCTAAGAGTGAGGTATAGAATGTGTCAGTCCTTAGCTGGAGTAGCCTGATTGTCCAAAAAATCGTGAAACTTTGTATTTGAGCCCATCTCGCTTATATAAACTTTAAAAAGTTTCTAACCCACCAATGTCAATGTGGGACTTGTCCTCCAACAAGAACTAATTGATGTTTAACAAATGTATAGAGGATTGAGTCCACTTTATAAAATGATGCCTGTAATTAGTTGATTTCCGAGGTGCAACTCACCATAAAGTGGGTTAATCTATTAGTTTTTTAAATTTTTTTGTTAGTTAATTTAGTTCAAACATGCTTTCAAGCAACATATATTTCTACAGCACAATAACAAAACCTTGACTCATATTATAACACCCTACAGATTCCAGGAATTTTCCGGTCATCTCTACCAACCCTCGGTGTGTTTGGAAATGCATTGATATAATTAATTTAGAATCAACTTGAATTTGTAGACTTGATTTTGAGTGTATAATTATAAATATGGATAAATAAAATTTCAGAATTGATTTTGTTTGATGGAGAAGCTACTAATAGTTGCTTCCAATTGGATGTGAATTTTCACTTCTTGAAATCAATTATGTTAATAGTCAAACATACTACAAACGTAATTCCAATCATTTTGGATACAACAGAAATGATTCTGGACATGTTTCATGTGAAACTAAACATACCCTCACTCACCTCATAACATCAATTATTCAAAAATACACTGAATGGTTTACAATTTTGACAAAACACACCATATTCCAATACCGAGGGGAAAAAGAAGCAAGCTTCTAGATATATGAAATATCATCAATTCAGTGTGCATTCACTCAACTACTGAGGATTTACCTGTACAATGTTTCAAAAACTAAAGGAACAGAAATCAAGTAATGTGGTTGATAGCGTTCCAAATCGTCCTAGAAAGTAAGAAAGGAGAGGAGCATGTTATATACATGTGATGTGTATAAAAAGGGTTAAATTAATTTGTACGTCCTTAAAATATTTGGGAATTTTTAATGAAGTCTCCAAATTAAAGTAAGTTGTAATTGATCCTTAAACTAAAAAAATAAGTCCTTAAGGTTAGTTAGTGGTGGTTTGCAATCAACAGAAAAAGACGATTTGTGACGGTTTTAAAAACCTTATGGACTAGGTAATAAAAAATTTACAAGACAAATGACCCAATCATAATTTTTTTTAGTTTAGAAACTTCATTAAATTTTTTTAAAATAATTTTAAGGACCTATCGATTAATTTAACCCATAAAAAAACAAAATAACCGATTTAGCATATGTAGTAATGCGTTGCCTTTTATCATCTAATATCTAATAATAATAATTATCATTTATTGTTGTTAACCTAAGACATAATTCATCGATTATTTGAAGAAAATTTAGCGTTTAGAAGGTCTTTGTTTCACGGATTGATATTCATGAGAATAATATTCTTAAGAATATTATACCCAAAAATGTTATTTTTAAGAATACTTAAAAATGTGTTTGGTTAGATTTAGACATTCATAAGAATATTTTTAATTTAAAATAATTAAAATAAAAAATAAATGTTAGAATAATTACATAATAACTTCTCACATTCTCATAAAAATATAATTTTTCCATCTTCATTTCTATGAGAATAAAAATAACTTAAATTATGATATAACTACTTTTATGAAATAAATAATTTTTTTTTCTTGCTTTTGGAAATTCTCTCTTAATAACTTCTTATTTTTATCCAAAATAAAAGTAAAAAAGGTAAACAACATGATGATCTAGCAAAGTTACCATTGAGTTATCTTTAAGATTGCAGATTTTCATTTTTTTGTTGTTTGCATTGGTTTATTTTTCCTTATCGTCACTCAAGACTTATGAAGCAAGTTGCTTGAATGAGGTGTGGTATCATTGGTAAAAATTCTTTGGAAATTACAAAATGATGAATAGGTTGCTTGAATAAAATTCTTTCTAACACACTCTATCATTGCTTGAATAGTTTGCTAGAATTCCTTCCAACTTAATATATAATATGCTAATGTAAAAGGTCCATTGTTGTGAATCACCTATTATTAAATGATTTTGTTGCTTCGTCTACATTTCATACAATGTCCTAGCTCAGGAGTTTCCTTATAGATCATCACTTTGGAGGCTAAGCCCCGGTAGTTAGGACTCCAAAAACTTTCTCTTAGATAACATTGTGAATCAAGTCCAATGAGAAGAATAGAAATTTGAATTTATGGAACTTCCTCATTTGTTTCCTCAAATCAAAACTCTAAAGTGTCTTTGTGCCTGGTTGATTGCATCTGCAACTTACCTATACTTGCACTCTATCTAATTGATTGTATAATTGTTTTGTATTTTTTTGTTTTATGACAAGTTTAAACAAGTATACGAATATTGCAATACTAATTCTCACCAAAAATATTTCTCTTACTAAATTTCAAATATGTTTATAGGGTAAATGTCTAACAAAGAATAAGGAGCAGGCTTCCTACGTCTATTCAATGTTGGAGTGGCTTTGGGCAAGAATTATTGCCACAATATTACTTCCAGTTCATGTTCTGGCAAAGAAACTTGTCTACAATAAATTAATATAATTAATATTTTATTACACAACTATAATTTATTATATTAATACTAAAATATTTCAATTATATATATATATATATATTACTTATACTAGAAAATTATAATAATTGAAAATTAATATAATTAATATGTGTTATTATATTATATAATCACCTAAAAAGACTCACTCGAATCAGACAATACCAGCACAAGAGAAGTAGTCAACCTCTTTTTCAATTCTTCAAAACTTTGCTCACATGCATCTATCCATATAAAAGGTTGATCCTTCTTAGTCAACTAGGTTAGAGACATTACTAATTTGGAGAATCTCTCAATGAACCTCCTATAGTAACCCGCTAAACCCACAAAATTTTGAATATCTGTGACAGTTCTTGGACGTTCCCACTGTAACACCAACTCTATCTTAGTCGGATCAACTACAATCCCCTTTGCTGAAATAACATGGCCCAAGAATTTCACTTCCTTTAACCAAAACTCACATTTTGACAACTTGGCATACAACTGTTTTTCCTTCAAAATTTCCAACACTAATCTCAAGTGCTCTCCAAATTTGTTATGAAAATTGACCTTTTAGTTATTTTGTTTAAAATTAATCTTTTTAATTGATTTATTTTATATAAATTTTTAATCTAAAATTTATGTTATTTTAAATTTATTTTTTAAAATTTATTTGTTCACATAATGAATCCTTAATCTCTTGTTACATACATTGCTCAGTCAACCCATAAGTTTACTCAAACGTAATCCCTTAGAGCAAGAGCCTAGGTGCGGATATTGAATATCAATCCCTTGAGTACCTAATATCTACACCCGCATTACGGGCTAGGGTTTAAGACTACTAATGGGTCAAGCTCTATCCCTAGATACAATCACCACTAGGCATATGTTTCAGAACTAGTTTCAA